TGCTTAAGGCTGACTCCACTACTACAAAACTTCGTGTCGTTTTTGATGGTTCAGCCAAAAGCTCGACCGGTGTTTCACTTAACGACCTTATGTTGGTCGGTCCAAACGTTCAAGACAACTTATTTTACATATTACTCCGCTTTAGAAAACACAACTACGTGTTGAGCGCGGACGTAACAAAAATGTATCGTCAGGTACTGGTACAAGAATCTCAACGTAACCTGCAAAAGATTCTATGGCGTTTCAACGCTAATGATAATATTCTAGTGTACACACTAAACACTGTGACATACGGATTAGCTTCTGCCTCTTTTCTTGCCATTAGATCACTTCAAGAGGCCGCTTACAGAAACATGAATAGATTTCCCAAAATTTCTAATATCATTTTACACGATTTTTATGTTGACGACCTCCTAACAGGTGCAGAAACTGTAAATGAGATTATACAAATTAAGGAACAAATCACTAGCCTCCTTTTAAGTTACGGATTTCCCTTGAGAAAATGGATTTCAAATGATCCAGCTTCATTATCCAATGTCAGCCAAACTCCTTTGCATATTGGTGAAGGTGACCAAACCAAAACACTTGGTTTACTTTGGAACCCCAATGTTGATTGCCTACAATACTCGATTAGTGGTTCAACTCATCCTTTCAGAATTACAAAAAGGCAAATCTTATCATCAACTGCACAGATTTTCGACCCTCTTGGACTTTTATCACCAGTTACTGTGACTGCTAAAATTATACTCCAAGAGCTTTGGAAGCTTAAAATATCATGGGATGAAACTGTACCTGCTGACTTACACACAACTTGGGCTAAATACTATACTCAATTACAATTACTGAATTCTATCAAAATACCACGACAAGTGTCTTGTCCAAATCCAACCTCAGTACAACTTCACGGGTTCTGCGATGCATCACAGCATGCCTACGGTGCATCAATATACATACGTTGCTGTGATACATTGGGAAATTTTACTTCAAACTTGTACTGTGCCAAAACACGCGTCGCTCCACTCAAAACTTTAACTATTCCACGTTTGGAACTTTCTGGCGCTGTTTTACTGGCACAACTTGTTGACAAAGTATCTTCTTCTTGTCATTTTGACTTCCAAAACATTTACTACTGGATTGATTCCACATTTGCCTATCATGGATCAATTCATCCCCACACATACTAAAGACCTTTGTCGCCAACAGAGTAGCAAACATTCAGCAACTGTCGAATGTCACTTCATGGTATTATGTAAATACTAAGGATAATCCTGCAGATTTACTAACACGCGGGATGACACCTTCTAATTTAGTTTCCTCAAATTTCTGGTTTCATGGACCTTCTTGGTTGGTTCAAACTGAATGTCAGTGGCCAACAAACAATGCGCAACAATCTACTATGATTCTTACAGAAAACCTTCCAGAAGTTCGAAACACTAGTTGTTCTTTTATTAACTCTGTCAACAAATTCGACGCCCATACTATTGAGTTAATCAACAAACATTCTTCATTTTTGAAATTACAGCGTATATTCGCTTATGTTTTAAGGTATATAAGCAATCTTAAAATTCCTGAGAGCTCCTCTAGACAGCTGGGTCCTCTAACTGTCCTTGAACAGAATCAAGCGCTTTTCTTTTTGATTCGTACTATGCAGCAATACCATTTATCTGAAGATTATTACCAGTTGTCTTCTTCTAAACCTCTTAACAGAAGAAGCAAACTATCATCTCTACATCCTTTCTTCGACACCACACACAATGTAATACGTGTTGGAGGTCGACTACAACATTCCAATTTTGATTTGGTAAAAGACACCCAATTATTCTCCCTTCAACATGTCACCTTACATCCATCATAGCACGTTCTGAACACATTAGACTTTTACATACCGGACCACAAGCTCTCTTATCAGCTTTGAGAGAGAGATTTTTGGCCTCTAGGGGGACGCAACCTGGTAAAACGTGTGGTTCGTGAATGTATACAATGTTTTAAAGTAAATCCCAGACCTGAGTCACACCTCATGGAAATCTTCCTGCTTCTCGTGTCACTCCCTCTCGGCCTTTTTCGATAACTGGATTAGACTATGCTGGTCCATTCCTACTGCGTGATCGAAAGGGTAGAAATTTCAAAACAACTAAAGCTTACGTTTCACTTTTCGTGTGCTTCGCCACTAAGGCTATCCACTTAGAGGTAGTCAGCGATCTCACAACTGAGTGCTTCCTAGCATGTCTACGTCGTTTCACTTCGAGACGTGGTAAATGCAATGAAATACATTCTGACAACGCGACTACATTTGTAGGAGCTAACAACGAATTAACCACATTTCTTTCTTCTCGCGCGAATAGCATCGCAAATGGTTTATCACAAGATGGTATTCAGTGGAAGTTTATACCTCCCAAATCTCCCCATTTTGGGGGTCTTTGGGAGTCTGGAATTAAATCCACAAAACAACATTTAAAAAGGGTAATGGGCAATGCTTTACTAACTTTTGAAGAATTTAATACAGTATTGTGTCAGATAGAGGCCTGCCTTAATTCTCGTCCTCTTTGTCCTCTCTCTCATGATCCCAATGACCTAACTCCTCTTACACCCGCACACTTTCTAATTGGAGACAACCTGATGGCGCCACCTGATAACCAGATACTTGATCTGGCCGAAAACCGACTTTCAAGGTTTCAACGACTACAGTCAATGGTGCAGCATTTTTGGACTAGGTGGTCCAAGGAATATGTATCCTCCTTACAAGCCCGTATCAAGTGGAAGACCAATTTTCCACAATTAATTAACATTGGCGCTATGGTCCTTATTAAAGAAGATGGAATCCCACCACTAAAATGGAAATTAGGACGAATTTCCCAACTACATACTGGTGACGATCAAGTTATTCGTGCCGTCACAGTGAGGACTTCTACAAGTGAATTGAAACGTTCCGTGACCAAAATTTGTGTATTGCCGAATTAGTTTATTTTCTTTCGAACCCCTACAGTGCTTCAAGGCCGGGACTCTATGTTAGTGCCAAACCGGACCTGTTCCGAATTCCAGACGATGGTACGAGGGGTGCGGGTTGCTCCCCCACTCACCGAGAAAAGACACAGTCCACTACAAGCTTTCGAAGAGTAAAGACAATTTAAAAATATATTTGTGTATCGCTATTGTTTTAAACTTTATAATAAAAACGTGAAATTCTCAAAACTTACACTATTTATTAACAGGAGGTGATCGCATACTTAATAAAAACGATGATAAAAAGTTAGCAATAAAACATTTCATTGAATCTCTCCAATGCATAGAGAGCCATTACTGTAGAAGTCAAATCAGTACTCGTGTTTATTTACCATGTGAACTTAATTTTACAAAATTATGGAAAATATACGAATCTAAAGTTCGCGATAACCAACTACATGTTAAACTGGCATTTTTTAGGACATACATAAATTCTAATTACAACATTGGATTTGCACCCCAAAAAAACTGATTTATGCTCAACCTGCTTAAGATCGAAGGAAAAGTTAAAAAACAAAAATATTTCTAGTTCAGAAAAGCAAATTATTATCACCGAGCAACGGATACATAGACTTAAAGCAAAGGCATTTTTGCCTTATTAAAGCAGCCGCTAGAAATACAGCGGTTTTTTCGTTTGATTGTCAGAAAAATTTGCCTTTGCCGAAGCTTCCGGATCAAGCTAGTTATTTTAGTCAACAAATTAACTATTACAACTTTACGGTAATTCATGGATTGAATACATTCAGCAGCAGAGTTGGTTCCAGAAAATGTTTATTCTTATGTTTGGACGGAGGTTGATTTTCCCAAAAATTCTAATTCGATAGCTTCAGCTGTTTGGGATGTACTGAATAAGTTTAACTTTCCAATGAAATCGATACAATTCGTTTCTTTGCTGATGGATGTGGGGGGCAAAATAAGAATATTATAATGATGACCATGCTTTCTGTTTGGTTTGATGACGAAAGCTCCCAAAAACATAAAGACCATTAACATAATATTCCCCGTAGTAGGACATTCTTTTAAACCACCTGATAGGTTGTTCGGAATAATTGAAAGAGAGGTTAAAAAGAAATCCACTATTATAGCATATTATAGCAAATAAGTCGACAATTAGAAAATTGGGTTTAGATTGGCAGGTGTATAACTGGAAGAATGAAGCACAAGTAAACACCAAAGCACCATCCTCATAGCACTTTCAGTTTAATAAGGCTAAAAAGTTTGTGCTTACTAAAGGGAAAACCAATGCACTAATACGAGGTGAGCCCAATTATTGTGTTGACGTCGGTGAAGCCAAGTCTGTTGTCAACAGAGGAATAAAATTAACACGTATCAATCCTACTCAACTTCCTATTGGCTGCAAACTCAAAGGCGATAAATTGACAATAATTTCTCTTCTCAAAAAAAATTATGGAAACGCCTGGGAAGAAAATCCTGATTTGGTTTTCTTTAAAGAAAATCTTGTTAACCCTCGAATGGTGGAAAACCAAAATTCTGTAAACTATGTTGAAGCTGGCTGCAGTGATTTAAAACCTTGCGATATTAATCTACCAATTTAATGTAATATGTAAATCACTGTTTAATTTATTTGTGAATAAAATTTGTTTCAAACTATTGATGTAACATTTTTTGGTGCAAAACTCGCTAAATGCATTCTTTTTTCTTCATTTATTTAAAAAATCTGCACTATTTTTTTAAAATATGTTAAAAACTATTAGAGGTGTATATGTTCTAAAGGCACGCTAACATCATTAATTGGTTATTAAAAAATATAATGCAAAAAACGTTTTTTGCACTTTTCTCAAATTGACTTTACATGCATTAAGCGAGTTTTGCATCTCGTGCACGGATATACTTTCTTGGGTTCTAATTTTTTTTTGTACACATCTTTCTTTAGTTATGTTAGTATTCGATGGTTAAATAGAGCAATACAACTGATTATGGGAGAAACCGGTATATTCTTGAACATAACACCAATAGAAACCTATACTATAAATACTTACCAGAGTCGAACCACTTTGAGGGTAAGCCGTGAAGTTGCTTAGTGTTATTTCCAAATATCCTCCCGAATAGAAACCAAATTGGCTGAGAAGGATAGATCTACGGGTATCATTCTGAAAAAAATAAACATTTGGTAATTTATGCAAATTCATAAGGCGAGTTCTAGTAAATTCATCATTAATTACCATAAATGCACTCGTAGATGGTACGAACTCATCACCTCAATAATACCTGGATTTTAAAATAGACCTAAAGAGATTTTTAAATTGATTACTGACCTACCTCCATCCCGTGGCAAGACCATAAAATGACCGTATCTAAAAGCCAGGAAATTGTACTTTTACAGATGCGAAGAGTAAGGTGCTACATTATTTCAATGTTACTATATGGAGTTGAAGCCTGGACACTGACGCAAGCTACTGAAAAGCGGATTAAAGCCTTCGAGATGTGAATCTACAGAAGGATAGTAAAAATATCGTATGCAGACCATGCTACCAACGTTGACGTCCTACAGCGCATGACAAAAGAAAAAGAAGTGCTTAATTTAGTGAAACAACGTAAGCTTGAGTACCTCGGCCACGTAATTTGAAACGAAGAAATATATCGAATTTTTTAACTCGTTATGAAGGGAAAAGTATTTGGCAGGAAAGAACCGGGACGCCGTCGTATGTCGTAGTTGAAAAACTTCCGAAAATGGTTTGGAATGACCTCCGCGGAGCTATTTCGCAGAGCAGTCAACAAAACCATGATGGCCTTGATGATCGCCAACATCCGGATCGGATAAGCAACTGAAGAAGAAGAAGTCGTTTTCCGACTTCCAATCGCCACTCCCTACGATTGTTCCATAGGTTCTCTCCTTTGTTTCTTGCTCTCACCTCTTTATCTGTACCTTTTCTTTAACTTATTCTCAGTCTAGCTCGTTTTGTAATTTGTATGTACAAACTAGGTAAGTTGTTTTGTTGATAAGTCATCTGTAATCATTCGTTTGAATATGATTATTTTACGTTTATGATTAGTTATAATTGCTAATAACCTCAAATTAAAAATTCCAGCCAATGATACCACGAAGTTTGCGCGTCTAAAAGATTGAGGTTCTTTTGTCTTCTATACAGTGATAGCACTCTTAAGTATTTAGTTTTACCTGGGTTTCATATATTTTGAATTGACCCAAATGTCCAAAGTCAATAACGCCAAAACGGTAACACTTATAATCACTTATAATCATAACACTTATAGATCAAATTTATGCTCAACAAAGTACTCCTAAAATTCAACGAGAAATTTAAAAATGCAATGAAAATCAAATAAAGACGTTGGAGTCTATTTCTGGTCTAACCATACATGTCAAAAATATTATCATTAAAAAGTTCACTATTGAAAACCTACGCTGCTGAATTGTCAGATCTCAAATCCGTTTATATGGCAGATATGTCTTATAGGCCACTCACTGTGAGATACTCGATATAAATATATCACTTAACCACGTAAACAAGAATTGTAACAGCTGACAGGTAATCTTCCACATTAGAAACCAGCACCTTGGGGCAAAAATGTTGAAAATGAGTTTACCTATCTTCAGTGATGAGTTTATGGGTCCTCAAAGGATGCCGTGACCAGCTTACTATATATCGGAGGGTCTAATAATTTTATGTGGAGTATAAAGTGATGAGTTTGTACACATCCCTTGTAGCACTGGAAATTATTGTGAAATAATCATATTCTGAAATCTCCTTTTTTAAGTTATATCTTCTATCGAAGGTTGGAAATCATCATGGCTATACGGACTCTGTTTACTGCCGCTCTAAATAGTTTTGCACTACTGCATTCAAACCATTTCCTCAAATTCTTAACCTACGATATTCTTCGTCTTCCCATATTTCGCTTTCCTCGAATCTTGACTTGACACCTTGGACTATCAATATTGGATCGTCTGCCTAACAGAGTATTTTTATTTCTTTACTTCCCATTATGTAGCCTCTTCCTTTGTTAACGCTTTTGATGATTTTATCCATGATTCAATTGAAGAGCATGGGGCTCAATGAATGTCTTGTCTTATTCCGCTGCCTATTTCTATAGTTTCTGTAAGTTGTCCCTCTATTATGATTTCCATTTTGTTGTTTTGGTAAATGTTTTCGATAGTTTTTATGATGTTTAGGGCAACTTTTTTATTGTACAAAAGATGGATCACATCTTTGAGTCTTACTCTATCAAATGCTTTATTTAGGTCAATCAGACATAGATATGCTGGTCTAATATACTCTGGTGATTTCTCAGTAATTTGCTTTATAACGAATATTGTATCTGTACATGATCTTCCACTACGAAAACCCTTTGGTTCATCTGCTAAACTTATGCTTTGATTTATTAGTACTTGTAAAATGTTAGTTGCAAATTTTAGGATAATATTTAACCAGTTTATACCTCTGTTGTTTTATGGCTGTTTTTTATCTCCTTTTTGAATAGTAGAATTAGTTCGCTAGTTCTCCATTCTTCCGGTACCTATTTTATTGTGTTTTATAATTGAGGAGGTGTCAATCAAAATCAATCATGTCCATAAAAATCAAAAAATTAGTTAGCAGCTGTTTCATAATATAAAGAGTGAATCCTATTCTATGGTGTTTTCGGTTTCGGTTAAAAAAAATCATGTCCTGTTTAAAATGAACACACAATATTAGGTTCCCAAATCAATGAAATCATGTCCACAGTTGGTTTCAATCATACCACCACACGTCCATTCAGCTAATAGGAGTGCCCCGATTTGGTCACGTGAGTTGACCATGTCAACACATAGTCTGTGTTTTCCCTCTAGGTTATGTCGATAGCGAGTATTGAGTTTGTATTGCACTGTGGTTTAATTTTAATATTATTATACATAGTAGTTTTTATTAAATAAAATTGAAATTTTCCATGCATGAAGAAAACTTAGTGAGTGTGGGCGATGCCAATGAAGGATCTCGTAAAAATAAAAAGACTGTGGATAAAAAAACTAGAGCCAAGCTTAAGCGATACAGTACTCCAGTGGGATGTCGTGTGTTTGTTCCATGTAAACACATGAACAAAGGTATGAAATGTGCATTAGTGAGGCCTATAGATGCTATTTTTGTTCGAAATATCCTCTACAAAATACCTGACAAAAACACGCAAGATAACACCATTGCCAGTTGGATAAATCAACGTAACATAAAGCGGCGAAGGCCTAAACCTCTGAAAAATCAAAAGCTAAAAGTTTTAGTGTATATTATTCTATATTTCATCAACCGGTAAAGTTATACCTGTGTGTAGGAAACTTTTCATGCATATTACCATGGTGAAGGGAACAAGATTGACTAATATTTCTAAAAAGGTGAAAGAGGGAAAGGCTGTTAAGGATCAGAGGGGTGGCGATAGGAAGAGTCACAAATCTGCTGCGAACAAGGAATCAGTCCGCCTTTTTTTGAGAAATTTAAGGGGAAAAGAAAGCCACTATAATCGAAAAAAATCGAAAAGGATTTATCTTGGTGCAGACTTCAACATTTATATAGCACCAGCTTCTGACGTTTGCAGTACATACAATAAAATAGATCTTCAGCTGAAAATTGAGAAGGCTAAAGCTGTGAAAGACTTGGTAGTGGTCAACCAATTTATGATGGAGAAAAGAATACACAGATTAAGAGCTAATGCTTTTTATGGGCTCTTAAAGGAAAATAAAGAAAATGAGGTTACTTTCTGTTTTGATCTGCAGCAAATTCAAGCACTTCCCAAAACTCCTATTCAAGACGCGTTCTTCTTCTTTATGTGCCGTCTTCTACCGAAGGTTGGCGACCATCATACGATAGGTTTCTCTGTTTTGTGCCGCATGAATTATGTTTGCAGCTTCTGGTATTTGAAACCATTCTCTCAAGTTTCTCAGCCAGGATTTCTTCTTTCTGCCCAAACCTCTTCTACCTTCAATCTTGCCTTCCACGATAAGCTGTAGCAGACTGTACTTATCATTACGGAACACATGGCCCAGGTATGACGCTTTCCTCCTTTTAACAGTTGTTAACAATTCCACCTCTTTACCCATTCGTCTTAATACCTCTGTGTTGGTCACTCTGTCTGTCCAAGGTATTCTCAGTATGCGTCGATACAGCCACATTTCTAGAGCCGCTAACTTCTTTATAGTTGCTGCTGTTAACGTCCACCCTTCTACGCCGTAAAGTAGCGTAGAGAGTACGTAGCATTTCGTGGCGCGCCATCGGAGGTTAATGCTTAGGTTGCGGTTGCTTAAGAGCTTTCTCATTTTGATGAATTTGGATCTTGCTATTTCAATTCGGATCTTAATCTCTACTTCTGGGTCCCACTTATCATTTACTGTATATCCCAGATATTTAAATCGGTGTACTCTTTCAATACGTTCGTCTTCAATATGCAGGTCGATATGTTGAATTTTTTTTTACGCGTTCTACAAGAGACAATTAAGTTTTTACTCTTTTTGCATTGTAGCATCAAACGCACAAAACCCCATATTTTACGTATGGACTGAAGAACTTGCAGGAAGGAGTGCGACCGAAGTTTCATCTGCACTTATAAATTTCTTGAACTCCGCTAATTTTTCAAATGTAACAAGACTGAATCTATTCTGTGATGGGTGTGCCGGTCAAAACAAAAACAATGCCGTTGTTCACACATTAGTGTATTACTTAGGATCAGTGCAAAATGCTTTAGAGGAGATTGTTCTAACATACCCTGTTCGCGGGCATAGCTTCCTCCCCGCTGATCGGGTGTTCGGAAGGGTTGAAAAGTTACTCAGGAAGCAACCTACCATTGCAACAAAGGAAGAGTACTACAATGTATATAGTTCTGTTGGAGAAGTACGGAAACTTGGAGAGGATTGGGGATTGATTGATGCTAAAAGTTTGGCTACACGATTTAAAAACATTGAAATGATATTTGAAAAGAACAGGATTTTTATGAAGAAAGAGAAAGCTGTCAACCGCAATGGACAAGAACTTACTGTTATCAAAGTGAAATCGGCACAGAATTTTAGGTTTGAAAGTGATTTTGAAACCTACAACAAGCCTCAAAAAAAAGGCTGGCATTCTGCAAGGTCGTTCTCAACTCCTGTAGAGTCACTTCCACTGAGCAATATAGT